ATATATGTATATATATGATGCTTTTTAGTTTAGGGTATGATTGACTGGTAGCTGTTGTTTTTGGAGAAGGCGTTCTTCATTTGCACAGATTGTTCCAGCACTGAGCTAAACCCCTTGTGATTTGACATCTTGTATAAATCCAACATTCATATTAATATATGTGATAGTTGCAGCTGAAATGTTTTATTTGATAAAAAAAAAAAAAAAAAAAAACTGGTGCAGAGGATGAATAAGAAAATTCATTTATTTGACACATGACAAGCAGTTCTGTAACGTCAATCTCCTATGACTACAACACCCCTCTGACCCTCTAATTACACTCATTTGACTTCTCACAAACTAAATGCCTGCTTTTCTGCTTGGCATAATCTCAGTAGATGTGTACACAGACACCATGTTTCTGCATGAAGTGGAAAGGAGAGAGGGAACAATCTTGGATCTACATTTGTCTCTTCATTCCACTGTTTTTATATATTTACAATTCTTCAGCTCTATAGCCGATTTTCATTGTTGTCATTTCAACACTGAACCACAAGTAGAACAGGTATTATAAAGACCATGACATGAGAACAATCCATTGTTGAACTGATGCAATGTCCACTGATGCATTAAAATGAAACTGTGGTTTGGTTGATGTGTGCCATTGACTTTTGACAGATGTGTGGAAGGGGACTACCTGCACACATCTACTACTCACCGAAAAAGTCACACAACTAGAATGAGTCAGAGTCAACCAGTTTGACAAGACTGTCAACAAGGAAGAGGGCCGGCAATGGAGGAGGGGGCGTACCAAAGACACCATCTAATCACAAGCAGAACTGGTTCGTTCCACTTTTGGAGTAAGCTGTTGGAGGAAGAATCAGTTTTGTTGTGTGTTTCCTTGACTGATGAAGCCTTCCAGACCGAAGGTGAAACGTTTCAGCACAAAAAAAAAAGAAACTGTCCAGATGACCTGACTGAAAAATGTTGGATTTTATACCTGGATTATTGAGCATGGACTTTGTTGTTAATGAGTCAGAGAGTTTTATTTGTCATACACACCACATCTGGTACATGTGGTGGAACAAGATAATGTACACAGAGTACCAGTTACATCCCACAATAAAATGTAAAAGAAAAACATCAATAAGATCTAAAATATGAAAGAAGAAAAACTTAAACTAAATATACACTAAGCACTAATAGCATAAAAACAATATGCCAAACAGCAGCAAGAACATGATTCTGTGTGAGCAGATGAGCACAAATGAAAGCAGCAACATGAAACCGATCAGCAGCAACATGAAACAGATCAGCAGCAACATGAAACAAATCAGCAGCAACATGATGTGATTTTTCACAGTGATTATCCTGGTTAGAGATTTGTGAGTCTACTAGCCTCAGGGTAGAAGCTGTTCCTCAGTCTAGTGGTTCTACACTTACTCCTCCTTAACCTCCTGCCTAAGTGGAGTGGGGCAAAAAGTGTGTGCTGGGTGAGTGGGGTCCTTCATGATGCAGGTGGCTCTCTTCCTGCATCTGGAGGTGTAGATATCTGTGATGGTGGGGAGGCTCACTCCAACAGACTTCTGTTCAGCCTTCACCACTCTCTGCAGAGCTTTTCTTTCTGCAGCTGTGTAGCCTCCATGCCACATGTTGATGCTGGAGCACAGGATGCTCTCTACTGCACATCTGTAGAAGGAGGTGAGGACTGTGCTTCCCAGACCGGCTCGCCTCAGTCGCTTGAGGAAGTAGAGTGTCTGATGAGCTTTCTTGATCAGACTGGTGGTGTTGTTGCCCCAGCTGAGGCTGTCATTCAGGTGCACACCCAAGTACTTGGTTATGATGGAGGAGGAGAAGCTGTGGATCCTCACAGACTGTGGTCTGTTTGTTAAGAAGTCTAGGATCCAGTTGCAAATGGAGGGGCTTAGTCCTAGTGTGAATAGTTTGTCCATTAGAATTTGGGGTATCATGGTATTGAAGGCAGACGTGAAGTTCACAAAGAGCATATGGATGTAAGAGTCCTTCTGCTCCAGTTGGATGAGAGCAGTGCGGACCCCAGAGGAAATGGCGGAATCTGTTTATCGATTCTCGCCGTATGCATACTGGTGAGGGACTTCATTGATGCTGATGGTTGTTTTGATGTGAGTCATGACCAGTTTGTCGAAGCATTTAGCAACTACCGGGTGAGGGCTACTGGCCGGTAGTCATTCAGACAAGTCACTGTAGAGCTTTTTGGGACTGGGATGATGGTGGTGGTCTTCAGGTAGATGGGAACTGTTGTCAGGGTAAGTGAGGAGTTAAAGATGTCGACCAGCACCTCAAAGAGCTGATTGGCACAGTCTTTCAACACCTTCTCGTGGATGTAATCTGCGCCGGTTGCTTTGTGAGGGTTAATCCTCCTTAAAGTACTCCTCACTTCGGCTGAGGTCACACCGAGAAGCTCTTCATCCGGTGGTGAGGTGAGTCTGGTGCTGGGTTGTTTGTTCGGGTCTTCAAAGCGTGCATAGAACTTGTTGAGGGCATCAGGCAGTGCTGGGTCTCTAGGACATTGTTCACTTCTGCCTTTATAATCTGTTATACAAGTAATGCCCCTCCACATGCTCTGTGAGCAGGTGTTGGTCGCATCAAATGTACAAATATAACATTTTACTGCCCACTACTGAAGGTAAAATGGCAATGCAGTAATCTCTCAATACTTGGTTCAACTTTTGCGGACTCACTCTTTCACAGACTCACTCTTTCGTGGGTTTTCCATGTCAGATTGTACACATTGTTTCCCGGTGGCCTGGCCGCACTGTGAGTCTGTCTTTCCCCATCACTACTGTGGGAGCTTCAGTGAGGTGGATACCAGAGTGAGCGGCATGGATTGTTTATTTAAAATAATCAAGCACGACCCGAACCGAGCTTCCGATGGCCAATCCACCCCTGGGCGCTTATTGGTTCAGTAACCATAGCATCAGTCTCTCTGCTCTCTTTCGCTGTGCTCTATTAGAGCATTTAGAGAGTTTAGAACATTGTTAAGAACATTGCAAGAGTGTGGGAAGGGTTTATAAAGCCTTAAAATATATATAAATACTAAAATAAATATAATGTCCCTACTTAGCGGGTTTTCACCCATCGTGGGGTGTCTGGGATGTAACCCCCACGATAAGTGAGGGACTACTGTAATGTTTAGTCCTTGTCTGTTTGCATGTGTATACCATGTCACCAAAAGATATGTTTGATCAAAATGACTGTTACGTCATCAGGCGAAACATATTATTTCTAGAAAAAGTATTAGCTTAAATCCCTCCCTAAAATTCTGACATTAGATTTATGGTTTTAGATCAATGACTAACATTGAGATTTTAAATTGAAAGATACAAAAAGAGAAAAATATTCTAATTAGCATATGATTTACTTCTAAAACAGGTTAGAGTGAAGCTAATGAGAGAAGTCAAACCCACATCTCCATGCATGTCAACAACTCATTGATGTGTACTTTTATCCTACTTGGGCTTTAACAAGTTCTGACAACATTGTGTACAATAAACATATTTTTTTTTAAATCCTGGATAAAATGCTCAGCATCAGTCTAAAATATAGAATAAATCACAGCAGTTTGTACATGTCTGAATATAATGACGTCCATCTTGATTATACGAGTTTCTGATTAATTGATAAGTATTTATTAAAAAACTGATCACTGGTTTGCCACAAAAAAATGGCAGAAATAAGAGCATCAAATAATGCCATTTACTTTTTGTACAAATGTTCTCTCATGTAAAACAAATTATTGTTTTTCTGGGATTTTTATTTCATTAAGATCTACTGCAGTATAGCAGTCCCAATGTTAAGAGGGTGCCTTGCCTCTGAAAGGGATCAACATGTGACATCTTGTACAGTCTCACTCTACTGTAGCCTCTGGTGAGTCAGAGACAAACATTTCATTTCTAGATGTTCTTGACTGTGATTTGGGAAGAGACAGGAGGTAGGTACATGGATAGACTCACATGGGAGCGAGACTCTCTTGGCAGCAGTGAGCAGAGGGTTTGCCTGTTCCTGTTGTGGGCGTCCAGATCCACAAATATCACGGACCACGAGCAGCCCTGCAGTGCAAAACACACACACACGCACACAGCAATCTGGTTACACAGGAACATGCTTTACAGGTAAGGTGGCAACTCAAGAGATTTCAGCTCTTGCCTTAGACACCCACAAACAAGTTATTCATCATTTTACACACACACACACACACAAAAGAAAGCCTCCCAACATCTCACCTCAAACCTTCACAAATCAAAACATACTTTTTATCTGTAGGTGGATATTTTTGGCTCAAATGCTTGTTTGAAGTCCAATGAAGGAATGTTTGAACAGCAGTAAGATGATAGTTATTCCATCACTTCAAAAGCCCACTAAAATAAAGAGCTCCAACCGTAGCGCAGGTTGTACTTCTAGTCCACTTGAATATTTTTGAGAGCAGGGTGAGAGCCATTTAGGTTTTTTTCCCCTCCCATCATGAAAGTGTTCAAACCTTTTTTGAGTCTAAAAGTCAGTCCAGTCCACATCATACATCCATCATCTGTGCTTACATAAAAAAATCAACGAGTCATTTCAACAACCTGCTAAGCACTTTTTAATGCAAGTCTTATGCATTATGTATGAAAATTGCCTGCATGTTTTTTTTTTTTCCTCTTCTTCTTCTAAAACAGGTCTGGGCTTTTAGTCAAATCAGCAATCTTTCCTACAACAATTTGCATAGTGTAATGGATTTATAACCACAAATATAGGCAGATGTGTGACATGCAGGTGGAAATATCATATATGGAAATCATTACTTACAGCATATTAGTGTACTGGTACATATTCAAAAAAATGTATATACATACAGGTAAAGTTATATTGTCATAAACGGTAGATAGAAACAGTGCAGACACTTTTCTGTATGAAGGACTTCTTGCCACTGGCTAATTTACAGATCTTGTCCTTGCTTATGCTGATGGAGAAGGTCAGAAAGAACTCCATTGTGTCTTTGTGGATTTAGAAAAGCATATGACCGGGAGGAGGTGTGGTATTGCATGAGGAAATCTGGAGTCGTGGAGAAGTACCGGAATGTTTGACTGGTACAGGACATGTATGAGGACAGCAAGACAGTGGCAAGATGTGCTGTAGGAGTGAGAAAGTTTCAAGGGGTAGGTGGGATTGCATGAAAATGCAGGACTTCAAGTACTTGGGGTCCACTGTCCAAGAAAATGGGGAATATGGTAAAGAGGTGAAAAAAGAGAGTCCAGGCAGGATGGAGTGGATGGAGAAAAGTTTCAGGAGTGATTTGCGCCAAAAGGGTGTCAGCAAAGGGCAAAGGAAAAGTTTACAAAACAGTGGTGAGACCAGCTATGTTGTGTGGTCTGGAGACGGTAGCGTTGACAAAAAGACAGGAGAAAAAACTGGAAGTGGCAGAATTGAAGATGTTGAGGTTCTCCTTAAGAGTGACAAGAATAGATAAGATTAGGAATGAGATCATCAGAGGTACAGCACAGGTTGAACAACAGGAATATAAAGTTAGAGAGGCCAAACTAAGATGGTTTGGACATGTCCAGAGGAGGGACAGTGGGTATATTGGTAGAAGGATGTTAGAAATGCAGCTGCCAGGATAAAGACAAACAGAAAGACCAAAGAGAAGATATATGGATGCAATTAGAGAGGACATGGAGGTAGTTGGAGTGAGGACGGAGTGAGGACAGAGGATGCAGAGGACAGAGTGAGATGGAGGAGGATGACTCGCTGTGATGAACCATGAAGAGAGAAAAGCCAAAAGAAGAAGTCCTTGCTTATGTTAATGTTTGTAGATTGTTCCTTTAAATTATTATATTGTCTGAGAATAAAAGTTTTTAAAAAATGCAAAAAACAAGAGCAACGAGCATGCCTGTCAACAAACTATACTAAAATAAATAGCAATGGCCTTCTAGTGATGATGCATACGTGTTTAAAGTTTCATTAAATGATCTTGAGTGGATCAGAAGTTATGGTTCTAACAAGCAAAGACCTTGTTTTAACTTTGACCTTGATTTGTGACCTTAACCGTAAAGCTGGGGTAATAAATAGTGTGTGAGACACTCTGTGTACTGATGATGCACATGAGTTATTAAAAAAAACACATCTAATAAATTACAGTTTGTATTTCAGAAGTGGGGAAATTTCATAGTTATTCCTTTCAGAACGGGTTAACTACAAAAATCACTTGAAGAGAAAAAACGGTGGGGTCACTCTGGGACTCACTGACTTCTAAGCAACTAAATGTCTCTTATATTGACTGAAATTATTGATTGTGAAACCAGCAGGGCTGTGAGGAAAGAGCAAATACACGTTAAGATCACGCAAAAGCCAAAAGGATGTTCAAAGTTTTAAGACGGCCAAAACTAAAATATTAATTTTTGATGTGCACAAGAACTGTTATATTAACGGAAAATCACTAAAACCCACAGTGTGCCATGAGGAAATGTATCAATCTATAAAATATTATGATACTATCCTAGTTTGGGCTTGTTTGGTTATATCTTGATAAAGACGTATTTTCATAACTGATGTTAAAAAAAAATTGTTACACGTAATGTCACAAAATCTGTGCTGCATTTTAATACATGCTCTGTGAGTTAGACAAATGTGTAGCTTTCTAATTTGTCCCCACAAAAGATGCACCATCTGTTAATGAATGTGGACCTCAGTGCCCATGGTATTAGCACAGGTGAGCAGAAAACAAAGAATGATTTTAAATCCCAGTTTAAGGCTGTGTTATAGCACAGTCCTAACACATAACTTTGTATTGCTACTATTGAAAATAATGAAAAATAAAGAGCAACTTGGATCTGCTATTGGAATAAAGGGACAGTTCTTTCATAGATTCAAACATAGTGAGCAAGTAAATTTTATTTCTACAGAACTTTTCACAAACACAGCATCAAAGTGGAAACAAAATAATTAAAACAATTAAAAACAGAAAAAAAAAGTTAGGTAAAGCCTGTCTAAATAAAAATGCCTTTAGATGTTTCTTAAGAGAGTCAGTGGAGTCTGAACAGCAAAGAGACAGTGAAAGAGCGTTCCAAAGCCTCGGAGCCACCACCTGAAAACGCTCGGTCTCTGAAGGTTTTGAAATGAGTAGGTGGCACCAATAACAGCATTTCACTTGAGCCCTCAAAGTCCTGGAGGGAGATAAGTGGATCCAAAAGGTCCAAAACATATTTGGGGGCCTGACCATGAAGTGCCCTGAAGATTAGGACTAAAATTTAAAATATTATTCCTCAAATGCAAAGGGGGCCAGTGCAGAGAGGCCAAAATATGAGGAATATGACATATGAGCCCTTGTGCTGGTCTTAACCTTGCTGCAGCATTCTGCACAGACTGAAGACGAGACAAAGAGGTTTCGTTTAAACAAGTAAAAAGACTGTTACAATAATCCAAACGAGTAGATATGAAAGCATGGATAATTAGGCCTGTCACAATAAACAATGAATCAATTAATCGCATGATAAATGAAAATGATCAATCTCATTTTGATTTATTGGCTTTATCGTTTCTTCATGTCGCTCTCTTTCTATTGAAGACACTGGATGACAAAAAGCTCAACTCCGGTGCTCTTCACTGACCCCTCCCTTTCTCTTTTCTCTTCAAAATCGATTTTAACCGTCCAAAATCGTGTTTTTGCATAGTGAAAAGCAGCTAAGCTACGAGCTAAGCTAACAGGCCGACTTCAGGAAAAAAACTCCGTCTTGTCGAAGCTCTAAAATTCACAGTTGAAACCCATGCCTTCGTGTAAAAAGTTGTTTTTTCTAAAAAAAAAAAAAAGTTGATAACTTGTTTACTGATTTTTTAAAATTAAAAGCTTTGTGTGAAAAATGCTATGCTAAAGAGCTCAAACCACAACAAGCGTCCACCATTGTGAGAACCGAAGAGAGATAGCCCATGTCACGTCAAGGGGCCTCCTCCCCATTTTTCTTAGAGACACGCTGCTCGCTCCCTCACTATCCATCCTTCAGTTCAAGTCTTATAATTCCATCCAGTGGTCAAAAAAGGTACTATATGCAAAACAAATTAACAAACACTTCTTCTTAAATTTGACAATAATTACTAATTATTGTCAAATTTCAAACAATATTATCGTTTATCGCAATAATTTCTGAGACAATTAATCAAAATGTCTTATTGTGACAGGCCTATGGCTAATCATCTCAAGTTCAGTCTATATGTCACTGTATCAGCTATTTATGTTGAGGGGAAGTGGGGAAAGGACTCAGTTAAAAGATATCAAAACTTCCCGAACCTGAAAGCTGTGTCCATTTATCTAGCACAAAGGCTAAATGTGATACACACCCAGAGAGTCTGCAGCCAGTGGTACGTGTGATAACAGAGTTCAGTATGTACTAAATGTTCCGCTTTAAGGCGTTGAGGGAGTCACATTTGGTGTTGGACGGATGAGAGTCAGCTGGGAAATCAAGATTGATAGGGGTCATTAATAAGCAACTGCAAGGCTGGTGCACAACTGTTCCCTCACAGGGAAAAGAGCCTCTCTCACACACACATTCAACAGAAGCTTAGCAGCATGGATCATAAACCAGTCACCCCTATAAATTTTCTCAACTAGCTGAGTTTCAGAAAAAAAAAAATCAGGTGTGGCTATACTCTATCTTTTACAGGTGTCCAAAAAAGAAAAGCAAGACTTTTACTCTAACACCTGATGACCACAATTTATCATAATATAAACACTCTAAATCCAAGAAATGGCCAGAGGAGTAATTCTGGGTAACAGCCAAGTCTGGAAAAAAAATAATTTAAAAATAATGGAAGAGGATTATGTTTTAATATGTTGACCGGTCTACTCAAAGCTGTTGTATTATAAAAAGCAACGCAACTAGTGCTTAATTTGAGCTGGATCCTGCTTGAACAGGATCTGGGAACTCCCTTATTTTGACAGGGTGTGTTCCGGTAACTGTTTGCTTGGATACGGTAACTCTCAGGTTTACTAATAATAAAGTTATGAACAAATATGACTGCCTTGAACAAATCAAACCTATATTGGATATGTAATCTGAAAATAATTACAAAAACACTAATTTTAAACACAACAGTCACAAGAGTCTTAATATCATATAAGAGCTGCTCCTTCAAGTAAGCATTTCCGCCTCTACCCTTAAAAAAAATGTCCGCCCCTAAAAGTTTGGTCATGGGCAATTTAAGTAAAAACCCAAATATAATTAAACAGCACAACTACGGAAATTGCAAATCAGTTTTACAGTTTAAGTGGGTCATTAATAAAATTTTGATTATTTATAACAAATACAAGAGAAATGTTTGATGGGTAATAATATGACATATATCACATATCAAAATAACGGCACCAATTTGTAACAATAACAGTGATCAAAATGTCGTAAAGACAGTCCAAATGACTTTCATTAAAAAGAAAACTTATTCTCATTGTACAACTAAACAACTGAGAATTGACACAAATGAAGGCAGTAGCAATGGAGATACCGTATTTTCTAGCATATAAGTCACAGTTTTTTTGCAAAGCACGACAGCTCAGTGGTTAGCACTGTTGCCTCACAGCAAGAAGGTCCTGGGTTCAATCCCAAGTTGGATCTGGGGTCTTTCTGTGTGGAGTTTACATGTTCTTCTCGTGCTTGCGTGGGTTTTCTCCAGGTATTCCAGTTTCCTCCCACAGACCAAAAACATGCATGTTCAGGCCCAGGCCTCCCTAGCAAAAGAAATCTGTGATCTCTATGGGATTTGCCAGGTAAAATAAAGGTAAAATAAAATAGATTTGTCAGTCCTGCGACTTATATGCCACAACGACTTGTATACGTTTTCCGCATATTCATAATGCAAATTTTGACTGACGCTTTAAATTTCGAAGAACTGCAACAGCGAGTCCTCTCGTGCATGCTCACTTCACTCAGCTGGTGCAGGCGGAGGAATGCTGGAGAGCTCCGACTGCAATGGATGAATGGATGGATGGATGGCACCGCATCGCCCAGGTGAAATAAAGCTGTTTTGACCATTAAATAAAAGCGTAATAAACGCAACAGGTCAGCGGCGACGCATAATAACGCGGCTTATATGTCGAAGCAACTTATACATGTTTTTTTCCTCTTCATGATGCTTTTTTTGACTGATGTGACTTATACTCTGGAGCGACTTATATGCCGAAGAATACGGTAGTATTCGATGTGTGAGTGTGGAGGTGTTAGGATGCTTGAGTGCATGCTTAACTCACACAAGGAGAGACTTACATAGGTAAACATAGATGTTTAACAACCTGTTAAAATACACCACAATGCAGGAAATGGCATCTGCTATATTCAAGACTGTCTGGGGGAAGACCCCCAGACTCCACCCCCTCAGCTATTTGCATTCCGAGAACATTTGGTGTACAAATTAAGCACTGAAAGAAACCCAAACATAAACAAAACACCACCACTAACGGATTTGCAGACGAGCAGGCTGGGAGATTCTCAGTGAAACCCGGATCAACTGTGGCCATCGATCAAAGGTCTGTTGAAGCACAAACAATTTGCTGAGACAAACACAGGCGCACAAATGCCCTGATGGTCAAAGGCTCACAGATACGGAGTTAAACTGATGAAGCAGCAATAATTAGAAAGATGATGTTCAACTGGCAACACATGAGAAGCTTCGAAATAAATTTCAGCTCATCTGGTGCTTGCACAAGATGGCAGCACGACACCCATTAGGCATATCAGGTTGATGTAGAGCACTTTAATGGGGCACTGCAGATTTTAACTGCAAAGTAGGCTTTCAATCTTGCGTGAAGCAATGCATTTAGTGAAACAACAAAGAACAGCATAAGTAAGAAGGAATTTGTGTGAAGAGTGAGTGCGTGAGGAAGAAGAAAAAAACAATACTGTACCTGGTTTCCAAACAGATTGAATCCATTGATGGCCTCCAGAGCAGCTTTGGCGAGACCCACAGAACTGCAGAGTAAAGAAAAACAAGGGCCGTGAATCACACGGTAGAACAAAAAAGATCTCCAATTTGTTAGGCTTGACAGCAAATGCAGTGTTGTGATGAAGGCAGCGCCTTAAAACAGAGGCGTTTGTTTTTCAGCCTTTGGAATCGCTCAGCTTCTTAAAAAATAAGGAAAAAGTATAACTTTCAAACTTTTACGAATATGTGATAGGATTCAATAAAGTGGGAGTTTCCAGAAATGTTTGTTTATTATAGTGTAGCTCTTAGGAAAGAAAAATAAACCAAATTTCACAGTGGCTGGCTACAGTGATTGCAGTTCAGATAAAAAAAGCAAATTCATTTCACTGTTATGTTTCCCTTTTTATCCTGCAGAGATTTCTCTAAAGCACATTATGAAATAGAATATTGTTTGGAAATGAAGACAACTGGCAATTTAGCTGTTTTTATAAAAAGAAAGTATTTGTTACCATCAGTAAATACTGGATCAATGCTTACGATACAGAAGAGTACCCCTCTAAGAGTGTCCAGCTTCTTCAAAGTCAAAGTTTCTTTATTTGTCATTATTTGTCATGTGCTTCCAGCCAGGGCACTAAATATGAGCTCAACATATAGCTCTAATATATTCATTTTCATAAAACTGTTCAGTTCTAAAAGTAAAGTTTGATGAGTCAGAAATTTGGGGTTTGCACAACTTTACCAATTCAAACAATGACAACAATCAAATCTCACTTCTATTGAGCACATATAAGAGATTTTGGTCATTTGAGTATTATTTAGAAAGCTCCCTGTTTCGTTTTTTGTCTGTACAGGTTTACAAAACTAAAGAAGAAGCTGGTCGGTTTGAACTTTTGCCAAATCAAATCCATTTCATACACAGTGGTTTGCAGTTTCATACCAGCAGGATGTAAAAACGGTTACTATTTCACAACCATGCACTTACTTCATGCATGTACGCACACACTCCCCATGATCATATCAATACATGTTACCGTATTTTTTTGGACTGTAAGGCACACTTAAAATACTTTAATTTTCTCAAAAATCGACAGTGAACCTTATTCATTCAACCTTTATTTAGACAGGTTAATCCCATTGAGCCTCGGGGACTCATTTACAAGAGAGACCTGATTGTAATAAAGAGTGATGACAACAGTGGAACAACAAAGACAACAACAGACAATCATGAAGATGCGTACAAACTGAGATGTTTTTTTTAACAAGTGGAAAATAAAATGGAATTTAAAAGAAAATGTAACAAAAAACAGTTAGATTATAAGGTGGTGTAGAAAACTAAAAACAGGAACATGTCTGCATTGGTCCTTGCCAGGAACTTAACAGACATTTGAAGTCACTTAGAGAGGTCAAGGTCGAGAGCTTCATATCTTTTTGCAAGATATTCCAGAAAACAGGAGCGGAGTAGGAGAAGGCCCTTTTGCCAAGTTCAGTCCGCATAGAGGGAACACTGCAGGTAATAATGTCCTGAGAGCGCACGCTGTAGCTGCACTCATGCAGTGACATGTAGGAGGAGATGTATGAAGGCAGCAGACCAAGAAGTGATTTAAAGATGAAAATGTACCAGTGAGAGAGTCTGTGTGAAGTTAATGATGTCCAGTTAACCAGTGAATACAGGGTGCAGTGGTGGGTACAATAATCACAGCCAGTTATGAATCTTAATGCACCATGATAGACAGCATCCAACATCTGCAGGGTTCTTGTAGGAGCGTTCATTTAAATAATGTTACCGTAATTAATGGAGGGAAGGAAAGTCACAGTTACAAGGCGTTTCCTAACATTCAGAGTTACAGAGGAACTATTTCTGAAAAAGAAACCCAGTTTAACTTTCAGTTTCTTTACCAAGTTTTCCACGAGCTTAAAAGAGAGATGAAAGTCGACCAAGATACCCAAATATTTATAGGAATCGACAAACTCAATAGCGACAAAATTTGAGGATAAAATCAAAGAAAGAACTGCTGGTACCGACTTCCTATCCTTTTGGTTTTGTCGGCGTTTAGGACAAGTTTATAATCCAACAACTTATAATAAACAGCTTACAACGCGGTGCACCTTATGTATTGATTCTGGTTGTGCTTACTGACCTCGAACTGATTTTATGTGGTACACGGCGCTCAAAAATCTGTCAAAATGAACTTATTTCACTTAATGCGCCTTACAATCCACCTTATAGCCCCTGAAAAAAACGGTACCTAAAAAGGGGAAAAAAGAAAATGTACCATTTTCTTTTATTCTATTCTTAGTGTATTACAGTACATTAAATCATTTACACATGGATACAGGTTATGTGCCAACTAATAATGTACAGTGAATAACCTAATACCTGCCAATATTATTATCATTTTTAACACTTTAAATGTAAAAAAAAAAGTAGTATCTTGTCAATAATATAATAAATGAATATGACAACTATGCCATCCATTACAGTAGTCCCTCGTTGATCACGGGGGATCCATACCCTGAAGCCCTGCGATAAGTGAAAAACCGAGAAGTAGAAATAGTAGTACAAGTAGTAAATAGTAATTCATTTTCATTTTAGTTAGTATGTATATATATATAAATATATATAGTGTTATAAACCCTTCCCACACTCTTGCAATATTCAAAACAATGTTTCTAAACTCTAAACACTCTAAAAGAGCACAGCATGTCATGGCCTCAGCTCTCTGCCACGGCTGCACTCTCGGCCATGCCCACTTCTCCGCTGAAGAATGGAGATCAACAGAGGAGGAGCTGCAGGAGGAAGTTTCTCCTGCAGTGTGGGCTGCACACAGGTGTAGCAGGTGCTAAATAATTTAAAATAATTCCTTTAAAATAAAAATTTCATGCCGATTGTGCGGCTCATCCATCAATCAGTCAATTGTGTGTCATGTCCAATCCTATTTTGAAAAACCGCGATAGAGCAAGTCTGCAAAAAACAAACCATGAAGTAGTGATGGACTACTGTATATGTATTTTTCACTATACCTGGCAAACTGCAAAGAAATTACAAAAAAAAAAATAA